CTGGGGATACCTGGGGACACACCTGGGGACACCTGGGGACACCTGGGGACAGCTGGGGACACCTGGGGACACCTGGGGACAGCTGGGGACATTGGGGACATTGGGGACAGCTGGGGACACGTGGGACACACCTGGGGACACCTGGGGACACCTGGGGACATTGGGAACACACCTGGGGACACCCAGGGACCCCCAGGTCCCACCTGCCCCGACACCCCCAAACCCGGCCAGGGTCCCTTCCCTGTCCCCAGGTCACCCCTGTCCCCATGTCCCCACCGTGTCCCCACCGTGTCCCCTGTCCTCATGTCCCCGTGTCCCCACCGTGTCCCCCTGTCACCCCAATGTCCCCCCCGTGTCCCCACGGTGTCCCCATATCACCCTCACGGTGTCCCCAGTGTCCCCCCACTGGTGTCCCCACGGTGTCCCCATGTCCCCGATGGTGTCCCCAATGTCCCCTGGCGGTGTTCCCATGTCCCCTGGCGGTGTCCTCATGTCCCCCTACGGTGTCCCCACGGTGTCCCCATGTCCCCATGTCCCCCATGATGTCCCCTGACGGTGTCCCCATGTCCCAATGTCCCCTGATGGTGTCCCCATGTCCCCTGGTGGTGTTCCCATGTCCCCCCATGGTGTCCCCATGTCCCCTGACCATGTCCCCATGTCCCCTGGCGCTGTCCCCATGTCCCCTGGCGGTGTCCCCATGTCCCCATGTCCCCCCATGGTGTCCCCATGTCCCCTGACCGTGTCCCCATGTCCCCATGTCCCACTCACGGTGTCCCCATGTCCCCTGGCGCTGTCCCCATGTCCCCTGGCGGTGTCCCCATGTCCCCTGGCGGTGACAGCTGCTGGCCAGCGCGAGCTACGATGACACGGTGCGTCTGTACCGCGAGGACGAGGACGACTGGCTGTGCTGTGCCACCCTGGAGGGTCACACGTCCACGGTCTGGGGGGTGGCCTGGGAGCGCTCCGGCCACCGCCTGGTGTCCTGCAGCGATGACCGCACCCTGCGCGTGTGGCAGCGCTCAGAGCCACCGCAGGGACACGGTGAGGGACACCATGGGGACACCATGGGGACACCATGGGGACATGGGGACA